TCGGGTAAAGGGTGTTAATATCAAAATTGATGATGATGTTTGGCTATTCTTTACTGGTCTTAAGGTTGAAGGGTACATGTGTCATATGCGTGATTCTGATCTTAACAAGTGGACAACCAAGAAGAAAATATATAAGGATTGTCTAAGATATTCAGGAAGGTATAAGATGAACAAGTTGTATCTGCATAATGGATTGAATAGGAAAGAAAAAATGTGTGCATTTGTCCTTACTTGAGTGTTACTGCCAGGGATATATATACGTGATTGAATGACAACTGAAGATGTGTTTCTACTCAATGCCATAAAGACAAGGATACCAACCAACTGGGTTGCTATCATCAGCGATCATATGATTGAAGCTAGAATTAATCATGGTCACAATCTGCCTTATGTTTACATATGTTGTATGTATGCTCATGTTTTCATATGTTAAAACCACTTGCATAGAGTAAGTCTGTATGAAGTAATCGATTACAGTGGTTATGTAATCAATTAAGCCCATCAGATAACTAGTGCTTAAACTATGGCAAAACTACAAGTTTTAACCGATTACATTATATGTAAAATTGATTAAAACTCGTTTCTTTGCTAACACATGTTTTCTATGTGCAGTGATGAGTTTTAAGAAGAAAAAGTTTTCAAAAATTGTCTAAGTGTATAACTTAACCGATTACATTGTTTACGTAATCAGTTAAGTCTAGTATACTTTGAAAACTATTTTAATGATAAGTCCTAATTGTAATAACAGTCACTATCGATTACATTATTTGCTTAATCAGTTAAATTTGTTGTAATGTAATCCTGGGGTAACTCTGTTAGAAGTGTAACTGATTACATTATTTTTGTAATCGATTAAAAGTGTCAGATATAAGGAAATCGTAGTTGTTTGCATTAACAATTTTTTATCATTTTGAAATTTCATATATGATATCTATGAGTAGAAAAAGAGTTTTTGCAGGTGCACAGGTTCTCCAAGAATCAAGAACAAAAGATTTGCAGATTTTGAAGGATTCTTGAAGGATAGCATGGGACGTTTATTGGCTTATCACTACTGCACATTAAGGTGTTTTCTTTCCTGATCAAAACTTTGTTTGCAATCAAGAGATTGTGGTTTCCTCTTGCGTGTTTCCAGGAAGAAGAACGTGTGGTTCTTGTGACTTTGAGAAGGGTCTCAAACGGGTACTAGAGAGAAGAAGATTGTTCTTTCTACAGGGTGTGTTTTTGCTATATTAGATTGGTAAGTTAGAGAGGAGATTACATTTGAGAGGTGTTCTCTGTAAATCCTTGTTATAAAAACTCAAATCTTGAGAGGAAAAAAGGAAGAAAGGGAATGATATTGAGAAATTTCGAGAGTGACGAAGGAGTGCAAAATTTTGAGAGGGAGGAGGGAGTGGAAAATTTAGGAGGGACGATGAAGTATTGAAAATTTATAAAATTTGGGATTCTACTTAAGTTAGAGGGTTTTGGAATTTTAGGCAAAAAAAATTTAAGTATAAAATTTTGAGAGAGAAGAAATATAAAAAATATGGGACGGAAAGGAAAAAATGTATTATAATTTGAGGAGATTATAAACCTTTTGAAAAAGGAATTAAAAACCACACTATTATTGTCATTTAGACAATATAACATAATCATCTTAAATCATGTTAATTTGTGAGAAGTTATTTATAACTTTTCCAAAATAACCTATACTAAATTAACATTTGTTTTTTTTAGTGCTACTATTTTATATTATATTTTAAAACATTGGTATTCATGATGTTTAGAAATCTTTTGATACACTTGATTGATTTGATATGTTATTAATTTGACATCTGAGTGACTGACATATTGTATTTTGAGAGAAGAACATATATTATTTTTTTAAAAGTGTTTTATACAAAGAACTACGTTTCAACCTAAACTCTTTCCGGTCTTTTCTTCATTTGAAATGTTATGATGTATTGTTATTGTTTATTATAAAAATTGTTTGATTTGATTAATATTCTTTTATTCATATATTATTATTATTATTTTTTATTTTTATTTTTATTTAAATAACGCAAATAAACAAATTTTATATTTGACAAACATACTCTAAAGTATTATTAAAATATTGCATTTCATGAATAACTTCATACACAACTTCAAATTTGAAAAACATACAATCATAAACGCTTTTCAAATGTTGCAACCATAAAAGAAAAAAAAAACATCTTTTGGCATTTCAATAAACTATTTGACAATATATCCGAATTACTATGATATAATGACCAAAAACAAGTTATGGAAATCAATTATCGACGTTGAATTAAAGTGGTTAATAAAAAACTTGTACATAATTCAATACAAATACAAAATGATGTTGATATTGAACAAATAATCAATAATTAAAAAAGTACTCGACTTCTTCACTTAAATATACTGTAATATTTAAAATTTTGTCCAAATAAAAACTTTACGGATGATGAAATACTTTAAGAATTACAAAATAATACTTACATTGAACCAAATTCGTTTTATCATCCTAATTAATTTCAAGTTGTATGACAAAAGTAAAATTTATTTATATGTAAATTTTTTTTTAATTTTTTCAAATAATTAAAATTTAATCTCAAACTTTTTAATTAATTATTTTAAATTTTTATGTATTTAAAATTATTATTGTCAAATATGAATTTTATTTTATTTTTTATTCATTTTTCTCACCTTTTCCCATAAACGTTAAAATTCAGTGAGTCAAATATCAATAATGTTTCCAACACTAAGAGGAAAAAAATTAATTGAAATTATATTACTATGATAAATGGGTCCAAAATCAATTGAAAATTCGGTTACTAATATAAACAGGTTCATTTAAAAAAATAATCTTACAATGAGTCCATACAGAGATTTTCTTTTAAAAAAATATTATACAAGTAAAAATATGCTACTTTTTGGATGGAGATTCCATAAAAGAAAAAAAGCAATATTGAAGAAATGTACAACTGCTTGTTTCTTATAATATATCTTCTGGCTGTTGTTCTTTTTAGTGGAAGACACGTGTATGCCATTCCCACATTTTCATAATAAAGAACACCACAATCTGATTTACACAATCTTTTGCCAATAACTCAAACCACTTTAAAATATAATTCCAATGGTAAAATTAAAATAACTACACATTTTTATAGATCTTTAATTAAATTATAAATCAGAATAATTTACCATTAAGATTTGTATAAAATTCTATTAATTTATGAAATCATTCTATCAAACTTTGATTCTTATGCTACGCCACCACCTTAATTATAATCATTTTTTTTTTCTACGGTAGAGACGTGTGTGCAGGATGTACCAGTTTTGGGGAAACAAAAAGTGAATAGAGCTATCTACATCATGTCAATAAAATAAACAACTTTGGTCTTATATTCGAAATTATCATCAATATATTTATAATATTTTACAAGAACAACTTCAACTTCAACGACAAATGAGACAATACATCATATTAAATATTTCCAACTGATTTCTTAGTTACGTGATATCTAATTCAATAAATTTTATCAGAATAGATTATGATATTATATTAAAATTAAATTCAGATCTAATTCATTATTGATTTGTAATATAAGAATTTTGGTATAAAATTTCCAACACATGTCTTCAGATATACATTTCACATTTGTAAATAGTCTTATAACAATTCCATAACTAATAATAAAATAGAATTAATAAACTTTTCTAAGATGTGTTTTCATTTCATGTCAAAAGAAATTTATATGAAAAGAAATTATTTAAAATTTGATCTTATACTTTTACTAGTAATAGGGTTTCCTAACAAAATATTTTTTTATTCATTGAAAACTAAGTTCAACTAACCAATTAACAAAATTCCAAGTGTGATTTATTAAAAAATATATTAATAAAACATGAATCTAATTTATATATAAGATTAATATCATTTCTAATTTAAAATTTTAAGAGAATAAATTTATCACAATATTATTTAACTTTCTCATTTTTATTCCATCTAAATTTTATATTTAGACTTAATTCTCAGTCTCACTTGAAACGGTTTTGCACTATTTTTATTATAGAAAAAGATTATAACTAATATAAATAACACGGGTCCACATTCATTGGCAAGCTTCTTTACGTGTGAGGATGACCCAGTTTTCCAAATTTCTTTTATATATAAAAATTAATATATAAATAAAAATACTTTTAATATTAATATATTTTATATATTAATATTCTCAAAATTTTGTATATTTCTGAAAAAGATGTATAAAATCTGAAAATGTTTTGTAAAGATTCTCCTGTAGTCAAGTGCTAGCGTCCAATATTACATTTTTACATGCACCAATGTATGATGGTATTTGAAAGTTGAAAGAAGAGTTGTTTGGAAGGACGAAAATCTCAAATAATGACAGAGTTATTCTCTGAGGCACTTTGTCTAAAAAAAACAGATAAATTAAAAAAAAAAACACAAAAATAGGTAGCAAACACATGTATTCTCTGTTCTGTTGTTAATTATTTCTTACGTAATTACATTATGTTATGTCCAAAACTCAGCGCGTTAGGTCAGCTGATTGGACATGCTGCTATAGCAAATCATTCCACACCATTCAAACTTCTTTTCCACTTTCTCGTGAACCCATTTCGTATCTTCAACCATCCCTCACCAAATCTACGCATAATATACTTGTAAATTAATATTTTGTATTTATCCAAACTGTAACAGTAAATATATATATATATACATAAATATATTGTAGAAAAGATTATTTGAAAATTTTCATGTCTACTATGATGATGTGTTAGGTCGTAAACTAATGGCGTGCTTAAGATGGCAATGAGATTCTGGAATTGTGAACATGATTTCTGTTAAAGCGCGAAATAATCAATTGCCAAATCTATAAAGAAAATTCTGAAAACTCACAAACCATAGCCTTCCATTATATATTATTATATTTGAAAAATGACAAACCAAACAAAAGGAGGAAAAAAAAAGTGGGTCACTTTAGCAACAAATCCTTCACATCCCATCCCGTCATCAATGGTGTTCCTCTTGATCAGTGGAGCTTTACGCAATCCCATTACACTCTCTTTCTTTCCATTTTCTTCTATTCTCTATTATTATTATTATATTTTTTTTCTATTTCTTTTCATTGCATTCTCTAATCACTACCCATTCATCACCGGTTTTCTCTGTCACTGTCTCCCAGTACTCTTTGAACCACCGCAACTAAAATAACAACCCCACTTTTCTTCTCTCCAAACCCTCCAAGTTTCGATTTTTCTCGCCTTCTCACAAAAATATCAGCGCCCCACAAAATATAATACAAAATTTTCAAGAAATCTTTTTCTGGGTTAATTTGGTAACTTTCTTTATTTCATGGGTAACATAGGAAGCAGCGGCTCCAATAGCCGTCGGAGACACGGCGGTGGCGGCAGCGGGAGGCGGATTCACCCGCCGCCGCCTCATCCGCCGGTGATTCCTCCGCCGGAAGTCACGGCGAACGGATTCGCGTACCCCCCCGCCGCCACGCCATATCACAACTACCCCGGGTACTACCCGCCGCCGACCACCATGCCGGCGCCGTTGCCGGCTCCTTACGACCACCACCACCGCCCGTCGGTGGACCCGATGTGGGGGAGGTACCCGGCTGCGCCGGCTCCGACGCCGACGCCGTATGTGGAGCACCAGAAGGCTGTTACTATAAAAAACGATGTAAACATCAAGAAGGAGACTCTTAGGATTGAGCCTGATGAAGAGAATCCTGACCGTTTCCTCGTGACGTTTACGTTTGATGCCACTGTTTCGGGAAGGTAACGCCGTTTTTCCTTTTATTTAATGCTTGTGTTGTAATGAGGTGATTGTGTTTGGTTATTTAATTGGCGTGTGGTGTCATGTGAATGGTGATTATATGTCAGATGCAAGGTTTTAAGGTGGTGGTTGTTGTGATCCTCTGGTCGCTTCTTTTTTCTTTTTTTTTTTTTCTGATGGGGTGTTAATAAGCTTGTTGCTGTGTTCTGATAAGTAAAGGGGCAAAACATGCTACTCTAACTAGCTTATAACGGTGTCACAGGGGTGCATGACTTAAGGGAGTGCAAAGCTGCGGATAAATAATATTGTGCAGATGAGAAGTATAGTTATAAGCAGATTTATATGCGAAATTAGTTGATAGTTTGGAGTTTAGATGGCTCATTGGCTTGACCAGTGGCAGAATAGCTACGATTATTGCGCTGTGTCTGTTTTTTGATTAACTGATAAGCATCTGTGATATGGTCAATTTCCTTAAAAATCTGGGGAGCCTGATTGAAAGAAAAGTTAATTGCTGCTAAAGATATCCTGCTTGTCAGATTATGTTCATTTATCATTTGATAATCAACATGATTTTTCCCCCGTCTGATATGTTCTGGATGTTGATCTGGTCACACACTAGATATTTGTCACCAAGTTTGCATTATTTAGGAATGCCTACTTAGATTTTCTAGAGTTCCTTTTTTATCCTATTCCTTTTTTAGAGGGGTGAAGAAATGGCGTATTCTATTTTATGTAGGGTGTTGTTACCTTTTAGCAATCCAAAGTGAAGTTTCTCTGTACACATTAATGGTAAATGAAGTAGTTAGCTCAGTACACATCAGTTAGTTTGAAAGCTGATATTATTTGTCCCTAAGCAGCGGCTTTATAGATCATTTTTAGTTTCCTGATGCGCTTGTGCTAAAAGCTGTTATTACTTTCATGTCACCATTTCTGGAGTAGCTTTTAATTGTGTCAGCTTAACTGTAGTTTTATGTACAATAACTGATTGCTAAGAATGGAAGGGGAGCATATTAGACAAGAAAGTGGTAACTCTATAATAGTTTCACTGTTTGAGGTTTTCTGTTGGTTATATGTGGAGTGAAAGGACACTGAGGTTGTTATTTCAATTAATTTGTTGGATGTTGTGGTGCATTTTTTTTTTCTTATGTGGGGGATTGGTTAAGATAAAGTGAAACGACATTGAATTTTGTAGAATTAAATGTTAAGTTATTTTCTGTATCATCACTAGTCATTCTCCTTGTGTGCATGACTCTCTCATGTACGAAAGTCAAGGTCTTTTTTAAGTAGAATTAATCTATTTTATCTACTCTGATTTAGACTTATATTTTGGGAAATAGAATATTTGAAACTGGACTCTGGTGCTAATTCCGTCTACTTCGTGGTCAAAGTTAGAAGCAATTTACGAAAATGACATATTTCTACGGCAAGATATATGGATATTATACCTACTTTTCTATTACCTAGGATCTGAATGGTTGGTTCAATGCATACTTGTCCAATTTCAATTTTCCAAAGCTGCATAACAAAATTAAATTTTTGGCACTTTTGAAGGCAATAAATTACTCAGTATTGTAAGTTCTTGTTGCTTCCCCGTTCTATATATCATTTTTGCAAGCAATACCAATACATGAAAGGTGATTGACTCAGTGTCTGCAAGGCATTAGAAATGGTCAATGTTTCCTTTGCACTTTAGGAGTGCTGTTTTAAATGTCATTAAAATAGTGTTTGAAAGACTTATATGATGCTAAGCGTGGTAATATAGTGAGAATGTTAAAAGAATAACTGGTTTTTGGACTTTTGAACTCTTAGCAGCAAACAGCTTAAGGTTTTGTACATCTAAAAAGGTAATCTTTTACTTTTAAGAAATGTTATGCTTAAGAAGCTTATTCATATGGAGAAACAATGCAAAATGGTCAAATATTATACTGTTTTCTTTTTCTGATATTAATGTCTTTGTTTACTGAGACGTGTGTTTTTGGTGGATCTTGCCTCTAAGGCATTAAAACCAAAGATGTCCCTCATCCTCAACTTACCTTGGGTTGAGTTAATGCACATCCAGTTTAATCATGCATTCAATAGTTAGTGCTCTTTAAGATTAAAATTGTGTGTGTTGGTTAAAGACTATGGATATGAATTTTGTGGGATAGTTCTTTTATTTGTTTGATCTAAATGGTTTGTTTCCTTTTACCTCCATAACAGCATCACGATACTTTTCTTTGCAAAAGAAGGGGAAGGTTGCATCCTAACCCCAATGAAGGAAAATGATCTTCCACCCATGACTGTAAATTTCCAGCAAGGTCTTGGCCAGAGGTTTAAACAACCAGCTGGAACTGGTATTGATTTTTCGATATTTGAGGAGTCTGAGTTATTGAATGTGGGGGACGACGATATTTATCCTGTTGCAATTAAAGCAGATGCATCCTCTGGTGACCCTGATGAATCAAAATCAAATGAAACTTCATCATATGGTAACACAAACTCTCAGATAACTCAAGCAGTGTTTGAGAAGGAGAAAGGAGAGTTTCAGGTGAAGGTTGTTAAACAGATTTTATGGGTAAATGAAATGAGGTATGAACTGCAGGAGATATATGGTATTGGTAATTCAGTGGAGAGTGACTTGGATGGTAATGACCCAGGAAAAGAGTGTGTTATATGTTTGTCAGAGCCTCGTGACACAACCGTCCTTCCGTGTCGCCACATGGTGTGTCTTTAAGTTCAACTTATTTTTGAATAACAATTGCTTAGTTTTGTCAGCTTCATGAAACAAGTACATAAAAATGAATAATTAAAAACTTGTGCACCTTGGTGTCCAAAGGTATGGAGAAGGGTACTGTGTGTAGTCTTATCCTTGCATATGTAAAGAGGTTGTTTCCAAATTGGTCACCAACATGCACCTTCACTGTTGCACCATTGATCACTCTCATAAATGATTATTTTCTCAATAATTCATACCAACATGTTACTGTGTCACTGATAAGTTATCATTCTTAGCTAACTGATTATTACTTTTCTGAATTTTAAGTGTTGATTAGTTTTGGATTTGTTTCCATGTAGTGTATGTGTAGCGGATGTGCAAAGGTTTTGAGGTTCCAAACAAATAGATGTCCAATCTGCAGACAACCAGTTGAGAGGCTTTTGGAGATCAAAGTGGGGCCTGAAACTGAGGAATGAAGATACAATGTTAGTGACAAAAGCTTCCTGTACAGTCCAAATGTTATAGTTAATACTTTAACTTATTTTATCAGGTTTTTCTAATAATCCCAAAAATATAGAAATTGGAATTTATGCATGACATTATGTTTGACATGTACAACAGGCTGGCATTGAACCTGACTTGTATTATTGTATAAGACAATGCCTCCACCATGCTTGTTTGGTTTTACTCCTAATTCTTAAGTGGTTTTATCTTCTGAACATAATTGGATTCTCCTCTTCTCTTTGAATTACATTATTCTTGTTCTAGTAAAAAATTGCTCATAACTCCTTTCAACGTTAGGTCAGTTGTAAAAAAAGTTAACAATAATTCAGCAACTTGGTACACCCTAGATTTATCAATTAGTGTCAATCTGAACTTTTGTACACTTAAATAAAAAAAAATAGAAAATAAAAACGTTCTAAGGATAAGGGTATGTGTGATGTGATGAGATGAAGCAGTTTGAGTTGCTGTGTTTTGAATACTGCTTTTATGCACTTGGACCTTTTGGCCAGTCGTTAAAGGATGGTGATTCATTTCGGTTTTCACAAGGACACGAGGAAATTTAGTTTTATGCTGCATTGTCTATGTATCTGGCCATGTTTTCTGGTTGGCATAATAATGGTATTTAACTTTCTCAACCACTTTTTTCTTTTCTTGTAGAATTTTTCTAGTTTCGGCCAAAGAAATAATAAGCCACTTTTAATCAATACCTTTGTTAGTAAAATGATTATTGAATAGCTTTTATTATCAAACCCACCATTCTCCTCAATTACTTTTATGCAAAGTGTTGGCTAACATCTCTCGTCACCAATTTTTTAATGTCTCTAAGGATTTATGAGAGTAAGTGTGCACATGTTTCCTTAACAATTGGTTAAGCACTCTTAAATTACTTAAACTACTTTGCATGCGTTGCATAACCCAACTATAACCATATGCGCATGACTCGTCTAATGAATAGTTTTAAATGTTTCTGTAACTTTTTCTTACTCATCTTTTTGTTTAAAATAGAAAATGATACTCCCATGTAATATTTTCTTTATAAAATATATTAAACCAAATCTACGGGAGAATATAACATTACTTTGCCACATTACCGATCAAAAGCCAAACAGAAACACAGAATTGCAAATTACGAGGATGTTTACAACCTCTGATGAATCAGTATGCATAGGTTCAATTAAAGTTTCATCATTGAAGTGGTTCCTTCGTATTGAATTTGTTGTTGTAAATTTAATTCAGACAAATTTAGCTTGACATCAATCCTTAAAACTTATAAAAAGAAAAACCAAGCAGCACACACTTTATAAGGAGAATGGTAAAGTAAGGTCATTTGTAAAGTATTTTGGAACTTTAAACACACAAAGCAGATACAATTTCTCACCGACAATCACTGTACGTATGACATTTGATGCCCTTTATGCAATTTTATTATTCATATTATTATTATTATTATTATTATTATTATTATTATTATTATTATTATTTCTATTATTCTTTCTTTCTTTTTTGTCTATTTCGAGTTGTTACTTAATTTTCAATATTTGGAAAGAAGTAATTACACACTTTTCAGACATCTCAACGTTTATTCCTCGATCGTTGTCCGACTGTCTTTTTCAAAAAAAGAAATACAGTATAAAATTCACTCTAAGACTGTATAATATACATTTTGCTAATAGGATCACTGTTGGTGTGCCTATGGAGACGGCTGAGGCAAGATCAAATAGTAATTCTTTAACTAATACTCGGATCAAACAGTGACTTCATTTAATTAAAAAATTAAACCAAATGTTGATTCTTAAAATATGGCTAATAAAATTCAGTATCCAGTGCAGACAGTCCTAAATTTAAAGATATTTAACTATGGATATCAACTGCCAAATCCAAGAGTACATGATCCCAAAAGCACAGTATACGGAGATCAACATGAGTGGTGCAAATGCAAACTTATCACCCAAAATTAGAGGGTGTAAAATTTGGCCCCATATCTCCACAACTACAAGACCTATCAGATAAATCCTCTCACTCCACCCAATAACAAAACCTTTCTTCTTCTTCACAGTTTCACCCCAACTATCTTCAGATCCAAATTCATCAGCCTTTTTCTTTGAATTAGTACTTGGCGCTCTCGCTGTTTCAGCCCCAACATAAAATTGTGCTGAAAAGCCTGACCACATCAAAATAGAGTGTAGAAGCAGCAACAAAACTTTGATCGGACACTCTTGTGCCTCGAATAGTAGCGGAAAATTTGAATAGCAAGATACTGCACGTACAAGTAATGTGTGAAATTTGAAAGCAAAAATACGGAAACAGCACTGAAAAAAATTATGCAACTTGCAAGTTTATTTTGTTGGCATCTAAAAGCATTCAGTCATTATAAGCAATGATTTTGGCAAACATATATTGCCACGTTAAAGGAACTAGAGACAGTATAACTGTTTATATATATTTGCTTTTATCTTTTATTCTGCTTGGTTCATGTTGTGCAAGGTTGGAATAGTTGCTTGATTACTTTATATAGATTACCATAACATTTTGCATTCATCCCTCATGTTTCCCCATCCAAACACATCAAAGTTTGCATATCCCTCCGAGCTCACTCCCATTCTCTCCCAATCAAACGATCCTATCCAGACCCTATACAGGTCTACAACCTGCAACAAATCACTGCTTCATACAAACATTGCTGTCTTCAGCAGGCAGATACCAGAGTTTTGGATGGTAATTTGTACGAGGTTCACTGACGATAGGGGACATAATAGAACCAATTCTCTAGCAACGAGTTAATATGACTATGTTCTTGTTTATTTGAAATTTGAAGGTTCTCAGTTTCATTTTCTGATTCTAAAAATGTTTTCCTTTTTCTTTTTTCTTTTGATTAATTGGAAGGTGGAACAAGATTTTTGAATCTAGAATCTGACAAATCTATAAATGCTTAGGGCACAGATAAATAGATGGAGCATTACTGACAGAAAACTATGCCAATAGAATAGAAAACGGCAATATTTGCAAGATTATTAGCAATTGCCCAACTATTGTGAAAAAAATTAGTGAAGTATTGTCTTCAATGGANAAAGAAATACAGTATAAAATTCACTCTAAGACTGTATAATATACATTTTGCTAATAGGATCACTGTTGGTGTGCCTATGGAGACGGCTGAGGCAAGATCAAATAGTAATTCTTTAACTAATACTCGGATCAAACAGTGACTTCATTTAATTAAAAAATTAAACCAAATGTTGATTCTTAAAATATGGCTAATAAAATTCAGTATCCAGTGCAGACAGTCCTAAATTTAAAGATATTTAACTATGGATATCAACTGCCAAATCCAAGAGTACATGATCCCAAAAGCACAGTATACGGAGATCAACATGAGTGGTGCAAATGCAAACTTATCACCCAAAATTAGAGGGTGTAAAATTTGGCCCCATATCTCCACAACTACAAGACCTATCAGATAAATCCTCTCACTCCACCCAATAACAAAACCTTTCTTCTTCTTCACAGTTTCACCCCAACTATCTTCAGATCCAAATTCATCAGCCTTTTTCTTTGAATTAGTACTTGGCGCTCTCGCTGTTTCAGCCCCAACATAAAATTGTGCTGAAAAGCCTGACCACATCAAAATAGAGTGTAGAAGCAGCAACAAAACTTTGATCGGACACTCTTGTGCCTCGAATAGTAGCGGAAAATTTGAATAGCAAGATACTGCACGTACAAGTAATGTGTGAAATTTGAAAGCAAAAATACGGAAACAGCACTGAAAAAAATTATGCAACTTGCAAGTTTATTTTGTTGGCATCTAAAAGCATTCAGTCATTATAAGCAATGATTTTGGCAAACATATATTGCCACGTTAAAGGAACTAGAGACAGTATAACTGTTTATATATATTTGCTTTTATCTTTTATTCTGCTTGGTTCATGTTGTGCAAGGTTGGAATAGTTGCTTGATTACTTTATATAGATTACCATAACATTTTGCATTCATCCCTCATGTTTCCCCATCCAAACACATCAAAGTTTGCATATCCCTCCGAGCTCACTCCCATTCTCTCCCAATCAAACGATCCTATCCAGACCCTATACAGGTCTACAACCTGCAACAAATCACTGCTTCATACAAACATTGCTGTCTTCAGCAGGCAGATACCAGAGTTTTGGATGGTAATTTGTACGAGGTTCACTGACGATAGGGGACATAATAGAACCAATTCTCTAGCAACGAGTTAATATGACTATGTTCTTGTTTATTTGAAATTTGAAGGTTCTCAGTTTCATTTTCTGATTCTAAAAATGTTTTCCTTTTTCTTTTTTCTTTTGATTAATTGGAAGGTGGAACAAGATTTTTGAATCTAGAATCTGACAAATCTATAAATGCTTAGGGCACAGATAAATAGATGGAGCATTACTGACAGAAAACTATGCCAATAGAATAGAAAACGGCAATATTTGCAAGATTATTAGCAATTGCCCAACTATTGTGAAAAAAATTAGTGAAGTATTGTCTTCAATGGAACACAAGCATCACTTGTGCTTTCTTTCCACTAGTTATATAAATCGTACATGTGATACACACCATGCACAAACTTTTCATAAATTTTATTTCATTGTACTTATATTTCATTTCCAATTTCTCCTATCATCTGAAAAAATAAAAGAAAAAAAAATAAAAGCATTGGATGCAGGTGAACAAACAAATGAGCATTAAAAGCATACCTATTGACAGCAAAAAGTAATGCCTTGCATCCTCCGGAGTTTGAGGTGCAACAATGGCAAGTGGAATTACAAAATGGAGAGATGCCTTCTCATGCACATGCCATCCGAAAAGAAAACCACAGGTATAAGCATAGGCTATCCATCTACTAATCATCTGTGGCTGTGGATTCTTCCAAGCCTTGAAAAGGCAAGGAGATAAGGCAAGAAGAACCATTATAAAGGTCACATATGGTTTGATCTGCATTATAATAAATAGAAAAAAATGAATGCTTTGACGAACTTTTTGAATAATTAAAAGTAAAGCAGTATAAAGTTATATCATAGTCGTAAATTTCAAATGACCAATTACCAGGCTAAGTTGCAGATTCAATTGAACAACAGAGCCTGCGAAATTGAATTAGCTACACTAGAAGGAGTCAAATGTAAAGCTAATATTATGCATTATCTCGTCAATTATAACTTTTCACAAATATCATTCCCGATGCCAAACAGGTGCTGATTTTACGTTATCAACTTGTGGTTACCAATTTTCCATATGAACAATCTATTCAGATTCTATATTTTTATTCTTAGATAATGGATAAGGACCAAGCAGTGAATCTATAATGTATTTTCAACAAGATTTTTAGAAAGTGAATTTAGACCTAACTTAACCCTGAACATATCAAGCATGGGAATAAATAATCATGAATCGGGTGACATGATATCCCAACACACTTCATCTCTAACCATCTTAAAAACTGGATTTAGATCTAATCAACCCTACAAAACTGGTTTATAAAATGAAGTTTACACTCACTCATTATAATATGGTTATATCTATAGTTGATGCGAGACGTCCAACAAAGGTTCAAAGTGAATTTCTAATCTATCAGTGGTTAGGCCACATTGCATGATTACAGGTTTCAAGAAATGATAAGACATTATCCTCCCTCTCTTTGTACTAATGAAATGCATACAGTAATAAGGCATTTCAATAATTTGTTTAGGTATAGCCATATAAGCATGTGATCAGCTTAACCAAGGTCATAAAATCCCTATATGTTCTTTGTTGTTGTTTTCTTTTTATTTAATAGCAAACAAGCTTATTCAAAGAATTAAAAACTCACAAGTCTTACCTGAGGTAGTACAGAAAATGGTGAGGAATCCCCTACTAGACCAGCAGTGAATGAAGCTGCTGGCATCTGGATATTGAACCCAAGTTTTCTTAATATGAAAGCAAGCCCTTTATCTGACATAATATAGAATACCCAAAAATTTGGGGCCCAGTATGCATGGCAAAGCCCCCTGCCAAATGGAAACAATCGTCGAATGACTTGTTCTATCTACAATTTATAATTTGAACAAACGATAAGTACATCAAAATGCAAAGGGTGCAAATGAAATATCCTCACTTTTACACAGGAAAATTAAGTAATACAAGAACTTAACAGAAGGCTACTAAACTTGTTCCCACTTACTTGGACATGCAAAGTTGGTCATTCGTAATTGGATTATTCTATTTATGTAGTAGTCGCATAATTGGTAGCATGAAAAGATTATAATAATGAAAAAAAAATGCTCTTTATACAACCTGATCAAAACTCAGTACGTCTGAGTTAGAAGGTATGCATCACACCAAAACCTAAATATATATATATATATATATATATATAAACAAAATGCTATCCTTTAAATATAATTTTCATGGCTATACCAAGCATCCAATTTTTGCTCCATTTAATAAGTTGAAAGCAAAAAAAAATATCAATTTACCATTCCATATTTCTGAAAAATTAACAAATACAAAATTCTTAAACTAGTTGAACAAATAGTAATCAATTTCAAATTAGTTAAACACATTGATTTATCAGAAGCAAGGGGAAAACAGCATGACATATGGTGAACATAATGACAATATATAATTTCAATATATAAACGTTATATTTACCTGCCCAAGGTAGAAAAATGGTCCAAAAGCAGATGCAAACACTGCTGTAACCACTCCTCCCATAATCAAAAGTCGACTGAAGCCTCTTATCATTCCACCCCAAACATAGTGTCTCAACAAATAAATAAAATAGACTGGTGCTGCCACTGCAAATAAATGTTTAAAGCACAAGAGAACAGCAAAGATACACCCACCTAACAAATCCCTTCCTTCCTCCAAATATGAAAGTGATATCAACAAAATCCCAATGAGAAATCCATTGTACTGAAAATGCACATGGTCCACTATAAAAAGCACTGGTGACCAAATAATCAATAACCAGACCAACTTCTGCTTTTTTAAATCCAAATTTCGAGTAAGTCTGTAAACCCCGTAAAGAAGAGACAAATCAGAAAGTATTGCAGTAACTCTTTGGAAATAAACCACCTTGTTTGAGCTATAATTCAGGCCCTCTTGAAGGTGCACAATTTGGGGATCAATGAGGTGAGCAAAAATAGATAGAAAGCGTTCAAAATAGGCAAAGAATGGTGGGTAATCAAGGGTCCATGGACTTGTCTCATCAAAGTACCACTGGGAAAGAGGGAGAGAGTGGGTCAAAGCCAGCCAGTTGCGATGCACCTCAAAATCTGTACTACGGTAGGATGGGAAAAGTAGAACTTTAATGCAGGTAGCTACAAGAAAGAACCACCAGAGAGTTGTTTTGGGGCTATGAGAATGATGAAGTTCTTTGAAGCTTAGTTTCTCTTTTCCCATGCCTGAAGTTGGGAGTGCAAAATGGAAAGAGGAATATAGACGTTGTATTTAATGCAGAAACCAAACAATGCTGTTTTTGACTACTCAAATAGAACTTGCTCGGTTTTCAACCCAACATGGAGACTGCTAATGGAAATTGTGACCTTAAGAACTTCCTGCATGAAAGTAAGCACGGTCACCGAGAAAACTTATGGGAGTACCGTTGACTGCCAGTATGATTGAAAGATGAACAAAGAGTATTTGCACAAAACTTTTAGGAATCTTTAGTCAACTTTTCCATGGACATATCTATTAGTAACAGGTACAGACTGATTATTAGATTTTGTAGCATTTATAGAAGGTAAAACAATTGAAGTAGACATGGAAACAAATATACAATCCATGACAAGTGTTTATTCTTTCAGAAAATAAGGACTATTATTAGAGAGAAGAAAAACAAAGAATTGGTAGGAAGGATAACAAATCCTCCATCCAGAAAATCTAATTTAGAAACTTACATAACAACAAATACCATATTGGAGATGAAGATGCCTCCATAAAAATTCATGAGCATACCACCAATTCGATATGCTCATAAATTTTTATAGAGGTACAAATAAAACACCACCAATAGGCACAAATAAAATCATCCAGTCCAACAAATAGATCAAAAGGGCAAATAGGTTTCCTAGGAAATCTCAAACCATATTCACCATAGAAGTGTAAAACTTTCAGTTGATGATTTTAGCTTCCTTATCCTTAACAAAATCATAAAATGAAGTTATAAAAACATTTAAAAAGTGGTACCACCCGCCCAAAGTTCCACCAAGACAAGTAAACAAACTATCCATACATAAGTAATTGAATGGAAATGTAAAAGCAAACAGGCCATTATTTACCAGTAGAAGATGTGGATCAAACAATCGGACTCCAACTCCTTCAAAAGATTTTTAAGCTTCCTACCTATTGCTACTCAATATAACCAAGAAGTAGTGTCGGTGTAACATCCCAATTCTGAGAGTCCCGAAAATGTGTAGAATTTAAAATTTTCACAATCATAAATAGAATCATTCTATTTTAATCTATTAGAAATCCGTATTAAAATTCTTTCACATTCCTCAACAAGTGAAATTTATCAATTTTATAGTTCAATAAATATATTCGTTTAAAATCACAACAAAATTAAAAAATGTTTATGAATTGAAAATAGGAATTATCCAAATCCAACCATAACGTAAAAAAAAAAATTAATACAATCCTTTACATAAATAGATAAACTTTAATAAAGCTACCATCGTCAAATCCCTCTCTCGTCAATCATATAGTTTAATTTCTTAATTTTATTAAATCTACATTTAAAACAATGACTAAAAGCATATAATATTCATGAATTTACATGTCTGACTCTATTTACATTATATCACCAATTTCAATGCAACCATTAACCTATTTACCTTAAATCTAAAACATAAATTTCCAGAACCTAAATGCGTCTATTAAAACCTTAAATCTGTTAACTCTTATCAAACCAAGTGCAATTAAGATTGTCCCCATGTTTAACAAGTATAGAAAAACCTAAACTAGTCAATCAAACATGTATCCATTCATATGTTCACTCATTTCAAATATCTTACTTATGCCCCCAATTAATTATTCCCCAAGAAAATTACTAAACATAACATTTCACTGCACCCATTACTTCCGATATAACCTACAACGCTCTAGAATTATAAGATATCAATAATTCTAGAGTTAGTTAAACAAAAACTATAATGTCCATAACTACCATATATATCATCGCACGTAATCACCCAAGTCCAATACACATTTATTTTATGCTTCAATAATATAAAATCTTAAAATATCCATTCCACCTAACTATCCAGCATTAGTAATTCAGTTTGACTATATCCCATTAAACCAACATCAGGACGTAATATTCACAGCAACACGAATGTATAAACACCACACAAACTCTATTCCTTCACCACTCATAGTTTAATCCAGTGTGTAACACCAATGCATGTAAAATCATTATCCAATCAACGTCATAACAGAACACAATATCATTACCGTATCATTCCATCCCATAGAAAAACAATTCATAATTCTAAAATGACTGTACTAGATTCAGTACATGGTACTAAGTAGTGTCATATTATGCACAAGTTTAAGCATGCCTCTACAGTACTTTAACCACATATATCATACATAAACTACTCATGTTTTATTTTATGTTATACAGCACTTTATTCTAATCATTAGGAAGATAAGACTACTTCAAGTTCTTTTTAAATCTAATGCAAAATGAATTTAGGCATTTAAGAAAGCTTAGGTGAAATCTTCTGCAGCTTTTTGGGAAAACTCAGCCTAAGGTAGACAATATAGAGCTCCGGGACTTGAAACCAATTTCTAATTATTACTCATAGATTCAACCATTTATCATAGTTTAGTATGATTTAAACCAAAGTCAAACAAGTTTAAACAGTCCAGAAATTAATCCTTAGCAATTATATGTAAACTCAAATGCGTGAAAGCATTATTTATATATTCTACCAAACTCTTTGACATGCATAGACATCAGTACTCATCATCTATCTAGCAAATCATTTAAACATCCTAGCACATTCTATATTTAAAGTAAAGACCATAAGATATATGCTGCTTTACTAAGTTCAATCACTTTTAACCCATACCATATCATCCATGCCCCCATAACATCATACCCGAATTCTAAATATTCACAAACAGATTCAGAAACATAGTCACATATAATTTTATACCATTTTCACAGATATAAGCAAGGAAATTCACGTTGCAGCAAAATCAGAAATAGTAATTTCTTAATTCTAGACAGAATATATTATGCAATTATATACCCATTTTCCCTTATCTCCTGAAACTTAACCCCTAACTATTTTCAGCAGCTAGCCTCATGTGTCGTAACCACATTTACACAATCACAATAGTTGATGCATAACATATACTATAAAACCCAACAGCCCATTTTTTATCCCAACAATGTCCAAGTCCCCCTTAGACATATATTACAAATGAGCTAGTTCACTACAGACCTAAGGTTTAACATTTTATATCATATTACAGTACACGCAACATTCATAATCAGACAAAACACACATAACCAGACCCTTCATAGTCAGCTTCTATTAACTATACATGTAAAGAAAGGAACATAATCTATCATATTCCTGCAAATTTGTTCAGACTTAAATCCAATTTATAATCACCCACAACTACATATATTAGCACCCCGTAATTAGCCACCAATTGATTCAGACGTTGAAGGATGTCCTTTTTCACAGTTTGGTTTATTAGAGCATATATTAACAATCCCAGAACCCAACACAAACCACATACAAGTTTCATAATCACCGAATTTTATGGGAATTAACTTAAATTACAGAGTACCACATTTTTGTCAATTGAACAAGTTTCTACATTCAAATGATATGCGCAATTCATAATCCAATAATATTGTCATATATTTTCCAGATATCATAACATTTAAAACAGATTAGCTTAAACAGAATTAAACATGTTATCCTTGAACATTTCACTACATCAATAAACAAAGTCCAAAATTTAACGAATGTAATCAACACACTGCATTTCAAGAATCATACAATCACAAAACAGGGTTAGCTCTCCATACCTGGAAAATTAACCTTCCTCACTGCACAACTTCTACTGAGCTTAAAAAAAATCTCGTGCTCCTCTCCTCGCAACATCTTTCTCTCGCTCAACTCGAACCCTAAAACCCACTTTGGATTCCCCTTTCTCCATTACTCACATCCTCACGCTTCACTCATCAGCACATCCAACACATAACCACTAGATTAAGCCTAATTCACTAATTATATAACCATTTAATATCCTTTTAACTTATTCCTATTTTGCATATATCATTTTAATGCAAACCATTTATATATACTCCTCATATATTACTTGCACAAAAGACTTTTACCTCTCCATCATAAATTCTAATTAATTAACCACATGGTACTAAAATTAAACCTTATCTCAAAGATGTTCTAATAACTAATTTTCTAGGGTCTTACTTTCTAGGGTCTTACTTTCTAGGGTCTTACGGTCGTCATCCTTAAATCATATGAACTTTGGATAATTATCTTCTACTAAATACCTACATTTATTGTAACCCCAATTTTTCAACCTCCACTTGACTTTCTCTGGGATTCAGAAAAAAAAAAAAAAAAAACTTCCCACCAATCGAGTACTTTCTGAAAATTCTTTTATTACAAAGAAAGATGCTTAATTCACATATCCTAATAACACTACACCTTTCTAGGATTTTTATAGAGGTGTCTTCATCTCCAATATGCAAGATTGGGTTTTTGAAGAAAAATGTGGAAGGAGTTGTCTACTAATGTTAGCAAACAGCCGAAGTTGGTTCACTGATGTATCAAGTCATTAACTTCTCCTTTGACTTATACTCAGTAACAATCAAATTCAACTGCCAGAAAAAGAAAAATCAAATAGTCTATGATGAAAAACTCTAAACTAACTTAAATATATGTCCGCTCTATACATAAAAAGCAATGCCCTCCTAAACCAGCATGATTTGTGTATATGGTGCCATGTATGTCGGCTTTTGATTTCTGGTAACTGGGAAATGAAAAGTTAGTACCCTAGCACTTTATTAATTTCCATTTATTTCACTTAAGCTTCCTGACAGGACAGCTTCAATAATATAAATTCATTTAAAAAAGAAAAAATCTGTGAAAAATAAATTCTTCGGACGAAGTCTGGTGTTTTGATATATCAAAATAAAAATAGGAGGAAAGCATTGACTTGCAGTAGAAAATCAATGGTTTAAAATCCCCGCCACACCCCAAGTCCTGGGCTTTCATCTCATCACTGTGTTTCTTGGTAGTTACAGAGCGTGTTACTGACTGTTAGGCCTCTTGGCAATCTAGAAACCCCCATCTTTATCTTTATTACCTGTAGGTGGCATCATAACCTTTTTGATATTCATCCTTTGTTTGATAAATTTTCAGTTCTTCACAGAAGCCAGTTACATCCCACAAACCTTTTTACATAAATATCAAAGCTAGAAAAGTAGATCTCTACGCTAGATGTAGAATCTCAAATTCTGGCTATGAATGTTCATTCACTATTACCTATTGCCAATTCTGCAAGTGACAACAAATACTAATTCTATTCAATATGTCCCTAGGTTCTCCCACCCAAAACTAATTGTCCAACTTAGAATTACTATATGTATCTTCTATGACTATCCTATCCAATGCAGTGAAACTCGAAAGTAGAATCGCAAACTCGCACGATTTGATAGTGGAAGTGGAAAAGAAGAAAAAGAAAATAAGGAACCGGTTGAAAAAAGAATAGGACTCACAGTGGCGGGATGATGCGGTGCGCATGCCGCATGCCGCTGGAGATGTTCCGCGCTCGTCGGAGGCAGCAGTAGGGATTGCTTCTCCGCTGAGAGGAATCGGAAGCTCGCTCTTTGGGACCGTTGTGCCGTCGAAAAAGAGGAGTGGCGGTGGATCGATTACCTTCCCAGGAATGACAACGGCACGAATTTGTGTTTGCTTGTTGGATGCTTTTCAAATGCATAAGTTTTCTGACAGTGAATTCAGTTGTGTCTAACGTTTATGTTTATTTGTATAACAAAGTATTATGGCTAATTAATAACTAATTATAATGTAGTTTTCTGTTTTTAAGTAGGTTTCTTATTTTCTTAACCTCTAAAATTATTGAAGTATAACATTTAATAAGACCAACTCTGTGACTTTTTTTAAAAAACAAATTTCCTTGTGTGCTTGTTTCATGTAACAATGCAAAAACTTGAGATAAAGGTTTAAAACCAATTTTACAAGTGATTTCAATTATTTTGTTTGAAAAGAACATCAAATATATATACTCTAAAACGAATAAATTTATAATTTATAAAATATTATGAAAAGATAATTAAATTAAAATTGACTTTTATATTGTAATACGGTAACACGCTTGTGTATATAATCATGAGAGATTCATAATTTAGGAATAAGACTTAATAAACATTGATTTTAATAAACATTGATTTTAATAAACATTGATTTTAAAGATTGCTTTTAAAGTCTAAATGTTTGTACATTGTCATAACCATTCAATCAATTTTATAATCTATTTAATCACCTTGTGAATCAATTTAACCAACTATTTTTCAATTCAAATTTCAACATTCCATAATTATTCTTTCAAATCTGTGTCAAATTTCATGTTGATCAAGACATTACTTTGTCATTTTCAAAGACTTATTGGTACACTATTCAACTTAATTAAGATCAGGCTCGACATTAGTTTTATTGTCCAATACCTCAGTTAATTCATTTCTGGTTTAAGAGAATCTCATATCCAGCAAGTCATAAGGATTGTGAAATATTTGAAGAATTATCTAGGGACTGATCTTTTGTATCCTTCAAATATTCCCTTTGAAATATAAAGTTTTTTCAAATTATGATTGGACAACTTGTGATACTACCAGTAAATCCATCTACAAGTTATTGTGTTTTCTTTGGAAAATCTGTAGTCACTTGAAAATAGAAGAAACAAATACGATCTCTAGATCTTCCTTTTGAGATTGAATACATGGCTTTAGTCTCTCTTTCTTATGAACTCCAGTGGCTTAAATACTTGTTTCACGATTTGTATTTTTCTATTTTCACTCCCTACTTTTATCTTTTGCGATAGTAATTCAACAATTCAAATTGCTAAAAATCTCACTTGTCATAAGTGAATAAAAGCATATAGAGATTAATTGTCACATTATCAAACAAAAATTTCAAGACGATCTCATTAGTTTCTTCATGCTCCTTCTACCAATCAACCACTTGATGTGTTCACCAAACTCCTTCACCTAACCACTTTAAAGACTATTATATTTCCAAGTTGAGTCTTCATGATATTCATGTTCATCTTGGAAGGGGGTGTTAAAATATTTCAGTTAGTTTGTGCTTTTAGTTTCATTTATTAGTTAGTTTCTAAGTGTGATGCGTATATACTAAGCAACACTCTTCTATGAAAGTTTTTTTTCTCCTTTTTTATGTACTTTTTCTTCCAACACAATAAAGTTTTTTTCTCTTTCAACATAATGAAAATTGTTTTGGCAAAACAAAAAGAATTATTCAAATGAAACAAAAATTAAGAATAAGAGAATAAAGAAGATGATTTTTTTAAATTACCTAGTAACTGAAAGGTTTATGCAACTCAACACTTAAATTGAAAGTTAAACATTCTCATGAAAAAAATATATTAAAAAGGAATAGAAATAATTAAATATGAGTCTGAATTGATTTTATAGTAAGCCAAATAATTAGAATAAAAAGAAAAAGAATGTGTGTAGTTAAAAGAAAGCAAAACTTAAAAAATTAAAGACTAAGAATTATATATATATATATATATATATATTAATAAATTATGAGAATTTTAGTAATTTAAAGGGAGACAGAAATGAGAATAGGATGACTATTTGGGTAGGTATGGGACGGGACAAGGAGATATGTACATATCAATATCCATACACAATCAATGCAGATATCACCTATCAAAATGAGGATGAGTTTGGACAATACTCACAAGGACGAATTTATTTGTCATCCCTAATCACACTCCTCTGTTTTGAGACTATCAAACCATTGGTCCGTAGAGTGTAATCAACATTAGAATATTTTTTGTTTAGTTTACTTTTAACTAATTATTGTTTGAATTAATATATATACCTATCCATTATTATATTTGTTATTTTATTTTTTCCTTCTAATACAAATTGATTTTTGTTTAATAGTTTTTTTATTTCTTTTTGGAAAAAATTGAATTAATAATTATTTTATATATTTAAATTAGTATATAATTATTATTTGGTAATAATTAACTAAATTGCATAATAATAAAGCATAAATTAATTAATTATATCATACATTGCACAAATTTCAGTTCCTTTCCTTTGGTTTTGCTCCTAGAAACATTGTAAACATGTTTCAAAACTTTCTCTGCCTATTCAGGTTTGGCGTTGTATATGGGGATAACAGGCTATCGGTCAACGCGTTTGAAGCCAAAAGAGAATAATGGACATTGGCTAAGATTATGTGATAGAGGTCGGTTTCCCAATGTGCTGAAGGTGATGAACGTTGGCCGAGACCGTATGGTAGTTGATCTGCCAACATGGGGAAGTAGGCTTGACGAGCGTTGGTTGAGGTCGTGCCGTAGAGCTCAAATTGCCAAATACTAATGGTCATTGATTGAAACCATACATTAAAGGATGGACGACCAACGTGTTGAAGTTAGATTGACAGATGTTGGTTGAGATTGTGCGGTAGAGGTCAGTCTGCCAACATGTTGAAGATGAATGTTTGCTAAGACCGTGCAACAGAGGTCAATCTGTCAATATGCCGAAGTTGGCGATCTTTGACCGAGACCGTGCAGTAGAGGCCTTTAGTTTTGAACAAAAGCTCATTCGATCGAGCTACGGCAATTTGGACCAAGCGGTATAGGTTCTTTGTAGAACTCTTCTTTCACCAAATCGACATTTGATCGGTAGGGATTCACCTATGTGAACTCTTTTCTCACCGAGTTGTTGAAGGTGTGGCAAGAGTTCACTTGGGTGAACTCTTACTTCATCGACCTATGGTGATTTGGACCAAGTGGCAAGGGTTTTTTGCATAACTCTTCCTTCACCAACTCGGCGTGTGATTGATAGGGGTTCACCTAGGTGAACTCTTCCTTCCCCGAGTTGTTGGAGGTGTGACAAGGGTTCATTTGGGTGAAATCTTTCTTCACAAACCTGACCGAGCTATACTTGTTCTTGAAACCTAAAAAGAGGAAACTGAATGGTCAAATTGCATGGTTAAAACAAACCATATTATTAGGTTGATGATAAAGTCGAGTAAGGCTCGGAAGAACCCAAATTAGGCTACGGTACTGATTGACCAAGCCCTTTTAAGAGAGGTCGAACATTCATTCACAAAGAAGTTGTATGTGGCCATTCAATTGAGGTTGAATCAAGAGCCATGACTTGAGCCCAAACATGGTCGCACATTTCAATAGTCTAAGCGAGAGCCAAGTGTGCACAATATGTGTTGAAGCCAAATTAGGTTGAAATGAAGCTATACGTCCAAACAAATTCAGCTATTTTACTAAGGTTGGATGTAGTCGTACTGGAGAGGCTGATTGGCCAACATGATGAAGCATAAAGATTCTATGATGATGAAGCCAAAGAAGGTTGAGAAGAAGCCAAATGAGGCTTATATTGACTGAGATCGTTCAGGATAGGATGAACGATCAGTTATGGAGCCAAATGGGGTTGAGAAGCTGAGATGTTTGGTTTATGTTGAATAAAGGTTTAATCATTCAGGTAGTCTCTATTTTTGGTGATTTTTCTAAAATAAGTCCCTTATTTGTTTTTTGTCTCACGAGACTCTATTTTTGAAAAATTGAAGTAATTAGATCATTGTCGTTAGTTTTATACTAATACCGTTAAAGATGTGCCACATATCAACTCGTAGTTTTTTTGAATTTTTTAAATATTTTTTTATTTTTTTTATTTTTATTTTAATTTTAAAAAGATGTCACGTGTCAAGCTAATATTGTACCACGTGGCAATGACAGTGTGACATGACATTGGCAGTGCCATGTGTCAATGTCAAGACATATGTCATTGCATTTGTCTCAATTTAGTCCTTGTATTTTTATTTTGTTTCAATTTGGTCCCTGTATTTTTATTTTGTATTAGTTCTAACTTTTTTTAAAAATTATACAGTTTTGTTCCTCCCCAAATTCAGACAAAATTTAATTTGTATATAAATATATACAAATATTTTTATTAAATATTTTTAACAAATTGAAATTTTTTTTTGAAAATCCCAACTAATGTAGAATTTGTAAAGAAATAACTAACAAAATAACTAATATTATTGTGTTTTATAATAAAATGGTCATAAATGTGAGTAGTTTACTTTTTTAAGTATTATTGAAATAGGATCGCGATATTCTAAGAACGCCAATTTGACAAAAATTTGACAACGCCACGTGTCAACTTTTAATTGGTCGAATTTGAATGTTTTTTGTAATTAAAAATCTGATTTGGAGGGGCCAGAAGTTAGGATTCTGAAACTGCCCTCTTCATTTTCGAACTCTATCTTCTGTCCTTATCAACCTCTTCTCTCTCCATTTTAGGGATTTGAATTTCATTTCAACTTCTCTCTTCATAGCAGTGTTGTTCTTCCTCCATTTTGAGGGTTTCGTTTGTTTTCAACATCTCTCTCTCCTGCTTCCCTGTCACCATTGTTTTCGTTTGAATCTCTGTGGACATTGGGTTTGTTTCTTTGACTTGTAGATTATGGTTGTCTCCTTCGGTGTCTCTGTGAACTCGTCTTCTTTGTTTGAGTTAGAGATTAACGTTGTGTCGTTCGGTGTGGATTTGGTGGAAGTTGTTACCTTTTTATGCAATGGGTTCGTCCGGTGACAATGGTTGTTCGAACAAGGTATGAACTTTTTCGTGTCTCCGTATTCGTATTTTGGGGAGGGGATTTTGGTGTTGCATGTGTTGGTAATTTTTTTGGTGTTGGTAATTTTTTTGGTGTCT